ATAAATGCTCACTGGGTGAATGAGTGAAGAAAACAGCCAGTGCCTGTTTCGATGGTTATATCTGAATGTCCATGATATGTAGGTCCATAAAACTACCAACTTCCCAAAGCTGCCATGTGCGGAGTGGCAGAATCTCCATCCAAGAAGGCCAGTGCAGAGTCTATGAGGCATTTTACAGCTGTGCCAGGAAATAGCAATGTCAGCGGCGGTGTCATCTTTGGACACTAAGGACAGGGATTCAGCGCCATGAACGGTCAGTTAAATTGTAATTGGAGTGAACTGTTCCTCTGCAAACCATAATGTGCTTTAGCTGCAGCCAAATGGCATTCAAGGAGGGGAGGAAATTTTTTGAAATGTCAAAGAAATTATTTCCAATTTGGTGCTCACAACCAGAGACTCTAATGATCAGTAGAAATGAGAAGCAAACAAATTAGCACTAATGGAAAATGGCTTTTGGAAAAGGGGATTTAATTTATAGTCAACTGATCGTGGCTTGCAGCATGCAGTAAAAGTCAGTTTCACCAGCTTGATCATAAGAAGCAGAGCACACCCGGAATGCCAGAGAAAAATATACTTATGCCATCATGCTTATTGGAATCTTTCTGTAAGTGGCAGCCAATTAAAATTGCCATTACTTTACCTTGGAGAGAAAATGGTCTGAAAAAATCAAAGCACATGAAATTAAATTCCAGATTAGGAATCCCAGTCCAAATTGGTTTGTTTGTGGCCTTCTAACCTTGGCAAGGTCTTCTGCAAGGATGACAAACCTACTTTGTCTCCGGCCCAGAGTGACTCTTTGTTTTTAATTTCCTCTCCATCTTCAGAGGTGATTAATAAATCTGGACTCATCCACAAATCACTTCTATAGCAGCCAAATGGTTCTTCTTCATGCCGGGAAATGAAAATAACAAAAATCTCAAAAAACCCCAGCTCTTGTACTGAGCCAAAGGTCCTTAGCAATGAGGAGCAAGTGAGAAGAGGTATTAAAAATGAAAAGGTCACTAGGTCTTGTTTCTAAATAAAATTTCTCAGAGGGCTTTTTTTCTCCCTATATTCAGACACGTTTCTAAAAGCAAGAAGCCTCCAGGGTATGGGCTGCCTGCTGGCTCACTGGGCTCACTGTCCCCACATGGCCTCAGAGACAACAAGGCAGTCACTGTCTCCTGTTCCTGCTGGTTCCACCTGCAGAATGGGACTGACGTCTTCTCCCAACCTTACTCCTCACTTCCAGCTCCTCAGTCAGAGACAGAGGGAGAGGGGGAGGGAGAGGGGGAGAAGAGAGAGGCCGAGAGAGAAACACTCTCCTTCCAAACTTCAGGCCCAGCCAAAGAGGGCAACCTGGCCATTACTTCCACCTCAGGGCCATATGCACTACAATTTGTCACAGTTCTCATAGATGTCCTTTCTGCTCCCCACTCATACCTTCCTTTTTAAAAAAATTTTTTGCTTTAAGTCACCCTGGAAATAGAGACCTCCAGGGCACAACATCTCATCATTGTGGGTTTTTTTTTTTTAGTTGATTTACAATGCTCTGTTAGTTTCTGGTGTACAGCACAGTGATTTGGTTAAACATATATATATATATACATACGTATATATATATTCTTTACCATTATAGGTTATTACAGGATATTGAATACAGCTCCCTGTGCTAAACAGTAGGCCTTTATTATTTATCTATTTTATCATATCCTCCTCACAGACCCCTCCTACCACCCATCAGTTCCCCACAGACTCCATCTGCCACCATCTTTTCCTCACATACTCTCTCCATATACCATTGCTCCCCACCTCCTTCCCGCAGAACCCACTGCCTTCACCACCTCCCCAGACTGATCCTCATTCTCTACCCACAGAGCCCCTTTTCCTCTCCCTAGACTCACTTCTGCCCCCAGCTCCACTCCACAGGCCTGCCCTCACGCTCTCCCCGCAAAATGTAACTAAGTCAACCCTCATCTCTCTACCCACATTCTCCTCACTGCTTCACTGCTCTGTGCCTCATCTTCCTTGACCTGATTTCCTGCCCTTCCTTCCCAGTTTTATTACTCTGCCCTGGAAAACCTTTGTTCCTGATCATCAAAGTCTCGTCTCCACACCTGCTCTGCCCACCTCCAGCCTGCACCAAAGGCTGGCTCTACCTCAGGGCACCACTTCTGCATAGCCAACCCCACTGGAGGTGGCTTGTACTCGTAAACCCCAGGGATCTCAGGGCTGGGAGAGGGGCTAGTGTCTCCTCACCAAAGCCCAACCAGTCCCTTATTCCACTTCCTCCTTGTAAAAACCCTTGATACTTTAGGGTCATGCCATTCAGCTATATTGACTTTTGCCCCTCCTCCTGCTGTCACCTACAGACTCCAGAACAACCTGCTTCACTCATCAAGGACCTGGGTATCTAGGTCACAAACATCCTCTTTCCCTTTTCCCTCCTCAAGTCCTGCCCTCGGCTGGGGGGATTTCAACGGCCAGGTCAACATCTTGGCTGTCTTCTGTACTCCACTTTGGCCACCCACTCCTGTGGCCATACCCTGGGCCTTGTCATCAGCTAGAACTACTCAAACTTCATTACTCCACTTTTTGATCATAACTCTCTCATTCAACTACTTCTAAGACATGGGTTCTCAGACTTCACTGGGACCCCTGGTCCATGACACTTTTACCCTCTCCTACGCAGTTTAGGGTTGAAGGTCCATCATCTCAACCACTCTTTTGCCAGGATCCTCAACTTTCTTGTCCTTTGTCCTTCCATTTCATCCACCTGATAAAATTCAAACCTAGATCAATTCAATCCACCTCTCTGCACCATTCAGATGGCTGAATATGAGGGGAAAATACACAGCACACAACCATGCACACCGCTGCTACTACAAACTGATGGTCACCATCCACAACAGGTCTCATAACTGCCCAGAAATGCTACTCAGTCATCTTCCTCCCATTTTCCATTGCAGCTACTTCATCCCTCCTCTGCTTGTCTCAAACCTTGCACACCATCTCCAATCTCTCTCTCACTGGCTGATGTCATGTCCCTATTTCAAAGAAAAAATAGAAACTACCAAACAAGAATTCTCTCGACTTCCTGCCACCGAATCTACTAATGTACTAACCTCACATGCTTCTTTTTTGTCACAGTGCAAATGTCCCTCTAAGTGAATTTCTCCACCAATGCGTTGGATCCCCTACTTTATTCTTTTCCTGGGGGCTCCACTCTGTTATCTCCTTCTCCCTATAGTAGTATATTTTCCCTCTTTGCTGGATTCATGCCAACAGCCTTTCTCCCATCTGAATAAAAACCTCTGTCTCCTTCTAGCTATTGCTTTCCCTTATTTTTCTCCTAAAGAGCCAAACCTTTGTTTTCAGGGGGGGAAGTAATTAGATTTATTTATTTTTTTGGTGGCAGTACTGGGGATTGAACCCAGGACCTCATGCATGCTAGGCATGCACTCTACCACTGAGCTATTCCTTCCCCTACCCCACACTCCTTAAACGTATAGTCTTCTCTTCTTCACCTTCCCACCCACTTCTCAACTCACTGTAATTTGACCTCCGTTTCCACCACTCCACTGAAACTGCCTTTGCAAAGGTCATCAACCACTTCCTTGTTTCTAAAGCCGTGGACTTTTTCAGACCTTATTTTATTAGTCATCAGCCTTCAACACTTTCCTCCCTTGGTTTGTGGAAAACCACGTTCTACTACTGATTATTTAACCATTCTAGACCCTTCATCTCAATCACCTTTGCAGATTCATCCTCCTTTGCCAGAACCTCAAACTTAGGTGCTTCCCAGGCTCTGAGCTAGGCCTTCTTTTCTTCGTATTCTACATGGACTCTCTGAGCAAACTGGACAAATCAATCCACTAATGTGGCTGCCATCTGTAAGGCACTACAGACTACACATTTTAATTTCCAGTTTAGACTTATCTAGCAAACTCCAGTCAGGCATATTTAACTGCCTCCTTGAAACCTCCACTTAGATGATGTCCCGCTGGCACCTCAAACTCTCCATGCCCAGAGCTGACCCTCTACTAAAAACTCTCCTGTTTGCCCAAGCCAGGAATTTGGAAGTCATTCTTCATTTCTCCTACTTGCCCCATATCCAACCAGTCACCAAGTCCAGTTCTTTTAAACTCGTGTCTAAGGAATCCATCCTCTCCTCTTCATTCCTGTTACCTCTCCAGGCTTCAGGCCTCCATAATTCTTCCTCATTACTGAAACAACTTTCTAACTGGTCTCCCTCCTCCCAATCCCCAATCCATTCTCTTCACTGATCTTAAAACACAAATCTGCTTGTTACTCCTTTGCTTAAAGCCCTGCCAATGACTCCATATTGTCCTCAGGATTAGGACTAAGCTCTTGCACTCATTGGTGTAAAATGCACTGGAAAATTTTTCCATCAGTAAGATCTACTACTACATAAGATCAGAGCTGACCTAGACATCAAAGACCCTCCAGGATCTGGGTCTATCTATTCTTCCAAGGTTGCTCTCCCATTAGTCTCTCCTCTGGCCAGAAGATGCTCCTAATTTCTGACACTAACCCTTTACTTCCCCTCTCTGAGCCCTGCAAAGCCCCATGTCACTACAAGTCTTTCAAAGCCCAGCACAAGAGCCATCGCACTGCCATAAATGTCCCTTCTGATTCTGAGCTCCTAAAATCCTTACGGCCTGCTCTTCTGTAGTATTTATCCCTTGCATAGAATTAGAGTTGGTTAATGCATGGTTCCCCTCCCTCTCGTTTTAAGACTTATGGAAGTCAGAGTCAAAAACTTAATCCTCACTAGAGTCCACCTACATAACAGGTGCTCAGTAAATATACGTTAAATGCGTGGATAAACCCCTAACCCCTTTATGTCCCGCGCGAACAGGGCATTCTCTAAAGTTCCCCCCATAAAACAACACCTCCTCTGCCTCCCACCCATCCCACCAGCCAGAAGACGCCTCAACCCACTGGGCGGAGGATGGGCCGGCAAGCACCCCCTTGGCCGTTTTATACGGATTTTCTACCTCCAGCCTTCGGAGCTGCGGTTGGTAGAGGATGGTAGAGGTAGCTAGACGATGTAAATCAAAGAGCATTGCTGTCCACTAGGTAGAATAAGACGCCTTTGGGAAGGGAGACCCTCCTCATCCCGAGAATACAACTCTCGCAGACCCTCTTACCTACACAGGAAGGTGGGGACTCTTCTTGACCGGCGTCTTGGCTGGCCAATAACTGACCCAGATCAAACAAGTTATCCAATGGCTGAGGGCCAGAGATAGAGCGGGGCGGGGCATGGTTGCTACGGCCGAGCTAGTGGGGTGCGCCGAGAGGCTCGGAGAGAGACTCGGTGGTTGCTAGGGCGGGCGGTCACGGAGTGCGGCTCCCGGATTGGGCAGCGTCGAGGGAGGTGGGTGGTGATTGGGCGGTGCCCAGGAGTCGCTCGGGCGAGGAGCGGGCGCGCAAGCGGGAGTTCCTGCAGGAGGCCCGTACAGATGGCAGGCGCTTTCACCATGGCCTCGGCCCAGCTGGACTACACTATCGAGATCCCGGATCAGTCCTGCCGGAGCCAGGGTATGGAACAAGGGTTGGGTCCAGTCGTGGGGAGGTGACCTAACGAGTCTGTGTCGCAAGCGCAGCTGTGGCCCCGCCCCCTCACGGCCCCGCCCTCTC